TGTGGGGAGGTGGCTGGGAGCGCGCGGGGAATCGCTGTGAGGCTGCTGGGGGTGGTTGTGGGGTGGCCGTGTCCCTGTGGAGCTGCTGTGGGATGGCTGCGGGGACGGCCGTAGGTCTGGCTGTGGGGTGGGTGTCCGTGGGGATCGCTGTGGGTCCGCTACGGGGCGGCTGTAGGGCTAGCCGTGGGGTGGGTGTCCGTGGGGATCACTGTGGGGCGGCTGTAGGGCTGGCCGTGGGGCCCCAGGTGTGCTGAGCCGCTCCCCGTCCCCGCAGGGCGCCATGCCGGTCTCACCGCCTCACACCCGCGGACGACGAGCTCTACCAGCGGACACGGGTGACCGTGCTGCAGCCGGACTCCCCCAACACCATGTTCATCGAGGGCTACACCAGCCGCGGCTTCACCATCAGTGGGGACCTGGTGGTGGGGCCCTGCGCCATCCTGCCCCGCGCCATCCTCCAGTGGAACGTGAGTGACCCGCGGCGTGAGAGGGACCCCTACCCCGGGGTTGGGGGGGTCTGCCCCACTCATTGCCCTCGGTGTCCCCGCAGGTTGGCTCCTACAGGGACATCTCGAATGAGAGTCTGTCACTGTTTCGGCTGCTGGAGCCCCAAATAGGTACGTGGGGTGGCTGAAGCCCTGTGCTGTCACAGCCTGCCCGAGCTGCCTCCTGAGCTGTGCCAGGCTGCTGGGGCCCTGCTGCCCCTGGGGGTCAGCACAGCTCTGCCCAGCCCACGCCACAGCACCCTGCTGGCGTTTTGGGGGAATGAGCTGCTCTGTGGCATCCCTTTGCTTTGCAGCAGCAGCTGGAGGGGTAGGAGGGACACAGCGGGGCATGTTTCCCCCTCGTTTGGGCTGCTGTGTGGGAGCTGTGGGTCCCTGCAGGGAGGGCAGGTCTGGGCCGAGGCAGCCCGAGCGTTGCCAGGCTCTCACCCTTGCCTGTGGTTGTGTCCTGGTTGCAGAGATCCTGGTGCTGGGCACTGGAGACAGGGTGGAGCGGCTCCACCCCGCCGTGCTGAAGCAGATGCGGGCATGTGGGATTGCTGTGGAGGTGCAGGACACGGTGAGGAGATGGGTGCACAGGCAGCACCCCAGTGAAGGGGGAGCAGTGGCACTGGGAGCCTCCCGTGCGCCCTGAGGCTCTGCCTGCCCAGGGATGGGCAGGAGGGAGAGGGATCTTGTGGCCCATGGGGAGGGCTGTATTTCCTGCTGGAGGAGGGGGGGCTTCACTCCCTCCCTGTTCTATTTCACAGCCAAATGCGTGTGCGACCTTCAACTTCCTGACAAGTGAAAAGCGCCTGGCAGCTGCTGGGCTCATCCCTCCACGGGGCACCTACACGGGGATGTAGATGCTGCCTGACGAGGCTGCGGGCTGAGCAGCTCGTCCCTTGCCTGCCTGAAGCCCCCGAGCGTCACTGCTCTCTGTGGAGAAATGCTTTGGACTCAGTGGAGATCAACTGTGAAATGCGTGGGCTTGGCTCTGCCCCAAAATCCCTGGCTTCTTGGCCTCGTTGCCCAGCCCGGGCTGGGGGCTGCAGGGCATGGCACGAGGCGTGAGTGTTGCTGGCAGCACTGCAGCCGCAGCTCTGCCGTTCTGCCGAGGCGGTGCCCAGTGCCTTGGCAGCAAGAAGCTGTCGCCCCGAGGCAGGGCAGAGGCTGGTGAGCGAGCTGCACAACCCCCGGGCACGTCTGAGGCTCCACAAGGAAAATACATGTAAATTGGAAATACAAAGCAATTGCGTGGTGGTTAATGTGCAGCAGAGCGAGGCTGTAATGCACCACGGGGTGTGTGTTCTCACCCTTCCATGGAGCTGGCCAGGCCAGTGGGGCTGTGGGTCGGCCCCACAACAGCTCCCTGGGCAGCGTGCGTGGTGCCAGGGGGTGCCACTGGCCAGCAGCTCCCTGTGCACGGCCAGCACTGGCAACTGGTGTGTCCCAGCTGGAGCTGGTGAGCCCTGGGGTGTCCTGTGGGGCTTTGTGCCACCCCACCAGCACCTGTGTGCCTTGTGAAGCCTGGAGCTGTGGTCGGTCCCAGGGTGCTGCAGCCCCTCTCCCTGCAGGCTCAGAGCTCAAGCAGGGGACACACACAGAGAGGGTCACTGTCCTGTCCCCACCCCCACCTTGCACCGGCTGATGGTTGTGGGGGCAACCCCTGGGGCTGGGGGTACCCAATCCCAGCCTCCTGCCCCAAACCCTGCCACCTCCATGGGCCCAAGGAGGGGGGTATGTGGCTGCAGCGCCCAGCCCTGAGGCAGCCTGTGGGCTAGCTTTGTTAATGAATGAGCCAGCTGTATTAATGAATGTATGCCACTAACAAGATTATGTTGCAGTTTGAGGCTCTGATTTTAGCACGTGTAAATCTAATTTGACATTGCCAAGCTATGGAGTGATTTATTTATATATTTATTTTTTTTTTAATCAACAGTATTAGCGACACAAAACGCTGACGGTAATCACGGGCTCTTCAGCAGGAGTGACAGCTGCGTGTATTGGAGGGGGCTGATACACACCTAAAATACCTTTGGCACCTGGTGTTGCAGGCACAAGGGGCTGCAGCTGCTGGGGCGATGTGGGGGTGAGCACCCGGGGCTGTGGGGACAAGGTGGGACCTTTAGGGGAAGAAACAGCAGGGAAGGAGAAGGGTGGATTGGTGAGGTCCAGGCGAGGGAAGGTACCGCTCCAAAGGCCCGGTGTGTGCAGGCAGCTGCAGCGCAGAGCGGTTCCAGGGGTGTCTGGGTGGGTGTACACAAATGTACACAAGCACCTACATGGTTGTTGTTGCCCCAGCTGGGACAGGCACAGCCTGGCAAAAATCTATTTGCTCTCTTGCCTGGCGGCCACTTGTTTTCTGCTCTCAGAAGAGCTCTGTTCTCTTTTTTTTGTTACACCCCACGCTACATTATTCACTCAGCCCTCCCAAGGAGCTGTCGCCTCTCCATTGCGCCCCCCCAACACAAAGTGTCCCTTCTGGGGCCAGGAAGCAAAGGGAAGAGCCAGGGAAGGAGAACAAGGGCAGTACAGAAGGAAGAGGGGCTCCGGGCTGACACCAATTGCACATCTTTTCCTCTTTTATTGTAAAACACGGCCAACGCGTGCAAGGCTCCAGGCGCCAGCCCAGCACCCCTTCTCCTGGGTGGTGGGTGGGCCCTCTCAGGTGGTGATGAAGCAGCCAAGGGACATGGGGAGCTCCAGGCAGCCCACAGGGTAATGGCACTTCTGCAGCAAGAGCAGCTCCCGCACGGGGTGGCGCAGGGCTGAGTGGCACGATGACAGACACAGACGGACCCCCCCTTCAGAAGAGGCGCTTCTCATACCTGTGAGGGGAGCAGCAAACCAGAGAGCCCTTTTACTGACCCGCCTCAGCCAGGGCAAGGAGCAAAGGCACAGTCAGGAAGGGCTCCCAGCCTGGCAGCCCGTGGTGGGAAGAGCCCCTACTTGCTGGCAGCGAGCAGCTCACCCGCTCGTGCCCTGCTGCAAGAGGAGCACCGGCCCAGGACAGGCTGGGACTCAGCCCAACTGAAGAGTGGCAACCCAACACCCACCCCAGGGAGACAGGGGTCCTGCCAGCAGCACTTACGAGTGGAGGCCATGCACCCCTCCTTCCACCTGGGCAGACGTCGTCCTCTTCTCAAACTTCAGCTCTCCCGAATACATCATGGCTCTGAGGGGGAAGGACACATGTCACAAGCCAGCCAGAGTCCAGGCAAGACAGGGCTCCAGCTGGAGCACCTGGGAGCAGGGACACTGGTTCCAGAATGGTCTTTGCTGTGCTCCTAAAAGCCAGGCAAAATGAGGTAATCCCACATTTTGAGGCCAGCCAGCAGAATATGTCAAAAGAGACCAAGTTTCTGCATTCCTGGGGCTGGCAAATCTATGACACAGTGGCCACTGGAGATGAAGGAAGAGGGCTATAGCGAGGTCAGACCATGCAGAACACACCACAGCATGGGTGCAGCTGGCCCAGAGACCCCAAATGGCAGCACTCACCGGACTTGGGTCAAGCTCTTGGCACCAATATCCTGGCAGGAATGCTGGATCCCAGCAATCAGGTACGGAATGAACTTGTGGATAGAGCCCTTGTCCTGCACTGCGCCAGAGACCCCCTGGGCCACTTTGATTTTGTCTGTCTCACTGCATGGGAGCACAAATCAAAGAAGTTTGTGAAGCAGAATCTCGATCTGCTTGATCTGCTGCCCAAAAGCACCATTTCTTACCTGAAATACCGGTTCTGGCTGCCTAAGTTCTTGTCCATGGCATCTAGTGAGCCCATGCCACGGTATTTCTTCAGCCTAATTCCATCCGAGAAGAAGTATTCACCTGGGGCCTCCGTGGTGGCAGCCAGGAGAGAGCCCATCATCACTGGCACAAGAGATCATCAAGAGCAGCACGTCAGCAGCAGGAAGGCTGTGGCCACAAAACCCCTCAGTGTCCCTGGGCACAGCAGGGAGCTGGACCCCTCCATGCCTCCAGCCACCTACAGGTATAAGCCCTCGTGCCCAGAATCAAATGCCGTGGAGAAACCCTTCCCAGGGGACACCCTAGGACATGCACGACGTGGCAGCCCCACGCGCCGCTCACCTGTGGAAGCCCCGAGCGCAAGGGCCTTTGCGATGTGCCCAACCGTCTGGATCCCTCCGTCTGCGATCACGGGGACGCCGAATCTCCTGGCGTATTCGGACACCTTGTACACCGCCGTGGCCTGGGGGCGGCCGCACGCCAGCACTGCGGGCAGGGAGAGAGCGGAGGAAGGGTCAGCTCCCACCCGCCAGAGCCGTCCCTCCCCAGCAGGCCCTTTAGGCTTCCAGCACACACATGCTCCAGCACTCGGGAACGCACAGATCCCTGGATGCTCCTTCCCTAGGCCGAGTTGCAAGAGAAGTGGATGCCCAGGAGATGCCTGCTGGGACATCCTCACGGCCCTCGACTCCAAAAAGCTGTGGGTGACCTTGGGACCGGGGTCTTTGACCGAATGCCTGGGATCAGCCGAGACTCACGGCTCATCCTGGTGCAGAGGAGACCTGTGGGGAGCTTGGGAAGGAAGCGGAGCAGATTCCAAAAGCCCCTCTCCAGAGCATCCCTAGCCCATAGCCATGTCCCACCGCTTGCTCCCTCCTAGCAGCGCCAGACCCCTTCTCCGTATGCCCAGCAGCTGCACGATGTGCTGCTTGCGCGGGAAGGCAGCTGGCTGGGAGAGAGCTGGTATGTATATATATGTATAGATCTATTTATATATATATATACATCTGCGCACACACACACACACAAACACACATGCAGCAGTGGAAAAGAGGCAGGATGATTTGATGGCTTACAGGAAATAATTTAGGTTCCTGCCCTGCAACACAGCAAGAACTCAGTCAAGTTTAGCTGCCCCATGGGAAGGGAGTTATTGGCTTTAGATTTACCTGCTCTTCCCAGTCGCTAGTGGTTAGAGGCTTCCCGTGGTGCGAGGGGAAAACCAGCACAGGGCACGTCTTGTAACACATTTGTCAGCCACAGGCATGCAAGTACGCTGGGATAAGCTGCTCTCGGGGGCACTCCCCTTCCCCACAATTAACTAGAAGCCTTTTCTCCAGTCACGGTTAGTCCGATACACCGGGTCAGATTATGGCCATGCAGGATTAGTACTTCAGAGTGTGAACTCCAGGGTGGTTTATCCTGCCCGGCAGCAGCGCTGGCAGCACACGTCCCTGGCAGAGGTCTGCCGAGGCCGGAGTCTGCCGTTGCCCCGCTCCCAGCGCTCAGCAGCAGCTGCCGAGGGGGAGAGAAGCCAGACTCCGGGCTGAAATCATGAAAGAACTGGTTTTTTTAATTGAACAAAACTCAACGTTAAGGTAGGGCTCAGCCAGCCAGGGAGAGTCTGCCAGCTAGAACACAAATGCCGTTAGTCTTAAAGAGAGGGTCTCGCTCGGTACCACACTGCTAAAGGCCATGTCGCGGCCACAAAACGCTGCAAGGAGAGAAACACTTGATTTTGAAGGTCCAGAGCCCCAGTGTCTGCTCTGTGGAGAGAAACACCTGATTTTGAAGGTCCAGAGCCCCAGTGTCTGCGGGATTGTGCCGTAGACAGTGCAGAAACCTCACAACAGTGGCCACGGAGACCAACCCTTTAAGGAACAGCTTGGCTCAGGGCCCCTGGGAGCATCGCACTGTTCCGACTGTCCCAGTGCCCGGCGCCACAGCTCCAGAGCACAGGCTTCCAAAGCAGGGTTCAGAGCGCACACACGCCAAGTGGTCAGGGTGAGGGTTTGCCTTTTTTTAGTGTATCTGCAAAGGGTGACCCTACGAGATCAGCTGCTAGAGAAAACCTTCCGGGATCTTCAACAGAAACCTTTGAGGTCCATCAAAACCAGGGAGAAAGGGCAAAACCCAAGGCTCGCCTCGGGTGGCTGCGTGATCGGGCAGCACCACAGCAGTACAGAGCAGACAAAGCTGCAGCCTGTGCTGGGCAGGGGAAGAGCCCTTTCTCTCCACAGGAGGATCAGGGGTCAGTGGGGAAAGACGTGGTCCTGGTACGCAGCTGCCAAGGTGGCCGCACGCAGCTAAGTCCCTCTGTCACCCCAGGGGAGCTAGCTCCAAGTGAAGCTTGGCCAGGGCACCGCTTCTCCACAACTGAGGCCAGATTTAGAGCAGGATCAAGGACTGCTCAGGGATCACTTCCCAGCACTGGATCAGCAGGGACGTGCCCAGCTGGAGATCCAGGAGGTGCAGCTGGAAAGCTCAAGTCAGGCTCCTGAACTGGATTTTGGAGTGGAGGGTGGATGAGCCTGAGTGCCCTCAGCTTTGACAATTCAGACCCTGCTTTAGGAATTCAGAAAGGCTTCTCAGCTTCCATTTCAGATTCAAAACCAGTATCCAAAGCCACAAAACCCCAAGTGCATCTACAGCTAAATTATTCTCAAACAAGCAGTAGGGCCATGTGCAGCCAAATCAGGGTCCTGCTTCAAGACACGTAATTAGGGTTGGGAACAGGGCAAGTGACTTACTATAGGTGCCCGTGACAGTAGAAGGGCATTTGGGGCTGTGGGACTTTAGGTCTGGAGGGATCTTTGGAGCAGCTAAACAAAAACAAACACACACATTTTAGAGACAGAAGAACAGCAGCAGAACAAAGGACCCCAGCAGTGACCTGCCACTAGGCAGAGCGTACGGTGTGGGACAGAGCTGACCTTGCAAACCCTTCCTAGCCCGAGAGCCAAGCCAGAGGCCAGATCCCAGCCAGCCAGGCCCGGCTGTGCACAGCGCATGCTGGCCCTGCCCCAGCAGCCATCCAGAGAGGTGACCCCCCACTAATCCCAAAAGCCAGAGTTCTTGCCCTAAAAGGGCCAAAAACCTGGGGAAGAGTTTTGCAACCACATCTCCTGTGAAGCGCCACGTTCTACCTCTGCTCTGTTCCTTCCCCAGAACCAGCACCCAGCCCCACCTCCCACAGCAGCTGGGAGAGGCACCCTCTGGAGATGTTCAGCACGCTGCAGAACAGAGCGTGCCTCAGCAGGTCCTCTGCCTCAGAGCCAGAGGAGGACACGTGCGTCCTGGTTCTGCTCCGGCTACGGAAGCGTCAGCCCAAGGACATCACAGCGTCCCTAAAAAGGTCACCCAACACAGACTGCCCCAATTGGGAAACCCCCGCAGCCAGCGCTCCCATGGCAGGCAAAGCAGGAGCACAGCCGAGGCCCAGGGCTGCTCCGAGGCTCCCCATGGGAATGGGCAGAGCTAACGCAGCACCTTTGGCCATCAGCTCCCTCTTGTTGCCTCCAGGGCCAAGGACCAAGGAGCAAAGCAGAGAGGGGCTGTGTTCGTGGGCTGCAGCGCCTTGCGCCACCGCTCTGCACCTCACCCATCGGGTCCAGAACACGAGGACTGAGCCTGTCCCCAAGGCAGGCCCTGGGGACACCCCTCTTTGCCTTTTAGCTAAGGGTGACACAGCCTCTGCCCCACACAAGCTCTGACTGACTGCAAAGACAATGGCCAGAAATCCCACCTGGGCCTGGGGATCACAGAAAGGCATGGAGGCCAGCAGACCCATTCTCAAGCACCACGCACACCGCTGCCAGGGGGAAGGGGAGCGCAGACAGCCCCGTGCACGTCACCCGCCAGCGCTGGGGACCCGCTCAGCCCCTCTCCCTGCAGAGCTGCCCGCCAGCCCCATCCCACACCGAGCTCAGTGGCTCCTCTCGGGCAAAGCCACGCCAGCCACAGCTGCTCTGCTCAGCCTCGGTCAGTACTGGGGAACGTCTCTGCTGCTGCTGCCACCCCAAAGGGCTGACCCAGCTAATGGGGATGTCCTGGACAAAAGGGGTGAAGTTCAGCTTGCTCTTTGTTAGACACTGCCCTCATAATGGGAGAAGTCCATCCCAGCTGTGCTGCTTTTCAGCAGGGAATCTCTACTCAACAGATGTCTTCAGCTTATTTAGGAGACGGCTGATCTCTCTCACCTTCCTGTGTGATGCAGATGGAGCCACTGCCCATCCCGACTCTGAGGGCATCGACCCCTGCGTCAATGAGGTTCTTGGCCTGAGCAGCGGTCACAACTGTGGGGAGCAGAAACTGGTTTGAAGAGAGAGAAGCAGAATTGCACGCGACACTGCCCTGGTCCTTCCCCCATGGCTGCCAACAGCCCCTACCCAGGGCAGCAGCCGTACACCAGCGTCCGAGCCAGGCCTGGCTCTCCACTGCTGCCAGGCAGTTAGCTCCTGTCCCCAGTCCATGAGATGACACAGGTCCTTTAGGCTACTCTGTGTCATGCTTACAGCCAAAGGCTGAGGTGGCAGAGGTCACCACATGGTGCCAGGCACTCTTTGGGTCACACCAGGTAGCAAGGGCAGAGCACAGACTAAGAGCAGCACCAGTAAAGACAAGGACTGCTGAACTCTGCTGTCAAGAGGCAGGGAAAATTTCCACTAGATTTCCGCATTAAGCAATATTCATTATTATTATCCAAAATTTTAAACTGGTGTGTAAAAGAGGCTAATGTGTAATGGGCTACAGAGGACTGTAGCTCACCGTGCTGCAGAGCAAAGGTTTCAAAACACCTGCAGCTCTGGGGGCAGCGGGGCACTGCCCTGCATCTGCAGAGTGGTCTCACTCTGCCCCACAAGCCAGAGGGAACCATTTTAAGTTCACAGACATTTACCAAGAGGATCATTTCATCCACGTCCCTGCAGCTCCCTCTATGTCTAAGCAACAAACATATTTTAAAGACAAGAACAGTCTTCAGTGCATGCCTACCGTTTCCTCCAATAACTTGTAGGTTGGGATATTTCTCCTTAATGTATTTTATCATATTGATCTGGAAGATGGAGTTCCCCTGAGAGGAATCCTGCAACAGAAAGAAAACAGATTTCAACCAGAATTTCTGCAAAAGATTATGAATAGAGCTTCAGAAAAGCTTCAGATCTTCACTCTGCTCTGGGGTCTCTGCTAAGCTCGCTGCATGGGCAACGTGACACCCCAAACTGAGCACAGACCCAGAGGAGAAGCTGCCACCAAGAAAGTAACATGTCTGTACAAGGCAGTTTATTGTAAAGACTTCACACTTAAATCCTGTGGCTTCAACAGAAGGCAACAAGCAGCACATCTGGCTGTGGGTAAGAACCACCAGGACACTGTCAGCCCTGTTTCAAACTACAGGTGAAACACTGAACGTTCTGATGACACCCAGAAGGGCTGGCACAGGATGCACCTCTCCCTGCCGTGCAGCTGAAACACCAGATGTTGGCCACCGAGGGCTCGTGCCCTGCCAGCCCCCGTGACTGCTGAACATCTCCGGCTGTGATGCTGCTCAGTCATGTCCTGGGAGCGTGGCAGACTGTAAGCGAAGGATCGATGAGAAATCAATGTGCTCACACACAGGCAGCGGCTGCTGTGCCTGAAAGCACGGGCCAGCAGGGGAGAGGAGCAGAGCAGCCCCGGGCTGAGCACTCCCCAGCAGCAGGCAGTTATGGGAATAACACAGCAGCAAACACCCAACGGTCGAAGGGAACTGTGAGAAGCCAAATATTCAAAACCAGTACAGAACATCAGAGAGAGCTGCAAGAAGCATCTGTAAAAGACTCTGTATTAGCTGAGAGCATTTCTCTTCTCAGCCTTCAGGGCTTTGATGCTACAAACCCACTCAAGGCTGGGGAAATTCCCAGGCAAGAGGAATCCCTCTTATTTGAGGACTCCAACCTGAATGAGACAGAGGTCAGCAAATTGCCACACTATAACAAAAAAGGGCCTGTAAGGAAGACAGTAAGTGCCATGCTGCTGCCCCGCTGCCAGAGGGGTTCATCCAAACCAGACCCTCAACCCACCCAACGCCCCCAGGCCAGTTGATGCCCGTGGGTGGCTCACCAGCACTACTGCATCCACGCCAGCCTGCACCAGGAGGTCCAGCCGGTACTTGTCATCTTCGTGGGTCCCAATCGCAGCACCACAGAGCAGCTGCTTCTTAGAATCCTTAGAAGCCAGGGGGTAGTCCCTGTTCTTCTTGAGATCGGTGCGGGCAATTATAGCCACCAGCTCGTCATCTTCATTAACGATTGGCAGCTTGCCTTGAAACAAAGAGAAAGAAGATCACTGGAGGTTCCTGCAGGAGACAGAGGGGAGGCCGGAGCAGCGGGGCAGAGCAGCAGCATCAGGCAGGTGGCAACTGGTACAAGGTGGAGACTCAAAGAGGTGGGTTACCAAATACTGCTTGGACACAGACGCCAACAGCCCTGGCTCTAGACACAGAGCAACAAGTCTGCAGGGCTGGAAAAGGACTCAGTATCCCCACGCATAGAAGAAAAAGTGCATCTCTTTTAATAATTAGATCCATGACATTGCGTTAAAAGTCAAACTACCAAACCCTGACAGAGCTGAACTGGGTGCCAAAATGTGAAGGCCAGGACAGAAAATTGAAGACGTGTGGCTGGACAGCCAGGCAGCTCTTCAGCTCCTGGGCTGCCAAGAATCCCTCAACTTCAAACGGATTTGAGATGAACACATGTGACCTCTGTACCCTGGCAGAGGGCTGTGGGCACTCTCTCCTCCCTGTCCTCTCCTCGTGCTGGAACACAGCCCTTCCATGTTCCACCCACGCACGGACACGTGCCCACTTTCACCCACTGCTGCTCCCAGCCCAGCCCTTCCACAGCCCTCCCTCGCATCGCAGACGTTCACAGGTACCTTTTTTACTCCTTTGCAGGATTTCATTTGCTTCTTTCAACATTACGCCAGCCGGGGCCACAACAAGATCCTCCCGCTTTGTCATAATCTAGTGGGAGGGAGAAGATAAGAAGTCACAAGAACTCCTTCGCACTGATCTGGAAATATCAAACCCCTCTGCCCACGTGAAATGCTCTGCAGCAGCCATGTGGGAGTGCTCCACAGACAAAGGAACCCACAGCACAGCAACAGGCCTGCAGAAACACACAGGAACGGCCTCCAATGAGCTGTCCCTGTGCAAGCAGCGGCCATCGGCCCCCAAACCCATTGGTGTAGTGAAAACAAGAGATGGCAGAGGGCATCAGCAGGCCGAGGGAGAGCACCTAGAAGCAAGGAATGACTCTCAGATGACCCTTGTTTGGGATGTCACCCAAGCAGCCCTCCCCTTTAATAGAGCACGGGCAAATAAGGGCTGGAGACACCTCCGCAGTCCCATGCTGTTCTGGCAGAAACGCTACCCCCAAGCTTGTTTTTGGGCAGTGATCCCCAGCTCACTGGAAGGGCTCTGCCCAGAATAACCCACCGCTGCTGCTGGCAAGGTCAACGGGGCAAAGGAGTCACTTCAGTCCAAACAAACACACTCACCCACGCTCGCTCAGACAAACAAGCACCAAAACACTGTGGGAAGGCAAAGGGCAATGGACAGAAGCTGGAACATGGGAACATCTGATGAGGTACACAGAGGAAAGCTTTCACCACGACAGCAGTCAAATGCTGGAAGAGCAGCCCAGTGAGGCAGTGAAGTCTCCATCTTTGGAGAGGCAGACACAGCCCCACACAACCTGCTCCAGCTGAACGTGCCTCAAGTGGAAGGTTTGACAAGGGACCTCGAGGTCCCTCCCCAGCCGCAGCGTTCTGCGATTACAAACCTGGCGTGGGATGTTTTCATAAAAGGTTACACCAAGAAGGCCATAAAAAGCTAAGAGGGAACACTCTCTAACCCTCAAGGAAGATAGATTGCACACAGCAAAGAAAAGAGGGAATGTTTTAGTTATTTATACTATAAGAAGAGACATATTGCTTCAGGAAAGAGGATCCTGTCCGGATCCACCCAAAATCCTGTCTGTGACAGAACCTGCATCTCAGGAAAAGCCTGAGGAATGAGAGACATATCCCAACACACTCCCTAAGCCTGTGGGATCCATGAGGTTCCCAAGCTACAGGAGACCTGTGTGTTCAGCTGGATGGCAACGAACAGCTCAGCAAGATGACTGCTGGATGGCAAAGTGGGGAGAGGTCTAGGAGACATTCATCTTCTCAGCCTTGCCTGGTGACAGGGAGAAGCACCAAATGCTAACAGCAGCAAGCTTCCCGCTTCGCTGCATGATCCACGTAAAGGATGAGAGGAGATTCTTATCTGGCTCCTCTGAATGGGCCAGCATCGCTTCAAAGGGCCATGTGCACTTTTATAACCTACTCCTGGTTTAAGATTCTCATTACAGGTATTTATAGGCGATTTCAAACCAAACAGGGATGAGCATGTGATACCAGGTTTGGTCAGCAAGAGCTAAAAATAGGCGTTGAGTCAAGAGCAGAGCCTGGCCGAGAGGCACCGGTGGTGTAACCTGACAGGGCCACAGATCTACAGTTACACAACTCAAGTAACAGGAACGCCAGAACTAACAGGAATCAGCATCGGCATCGCAGAGAACGTTCTGTCGGAGGGGAGTTTGGGAGCGCAGCAGTATAAAGGCAAAACTGCCAGTTTCCAAACTCAGGGGGTTATTTTAAAGAGCAAGCAGCCTAGATGAGGCACACGGGGGAAAGACAGCCCAGAAAAGGAAGACTGTCACTCGGAGGGCCTGCTGGGCACAGCGCAGCTGCTACAGCCCTGGCCAGTGCCAGTGCCCTACGTGGCACCACGGCAGCAGCCAGGAAACAGCAGGAATTAATGACTGAAGCAGGGGAGAGCACCAGCTGCAGAGGATGGCTTCCACAACGCTGAAAGGTAACCCCGCAGGAGGAGTCACGCCAACGCTAACTGCAGGGCCACCCTCCTGCATCCTCTGCAGGACTCACAGAGAGAGCATAAATGAATGAGACACTCCCTCCTGGAAATACAGTTAAAGATGGACGCGCAGAGCTAACGTGGAGCTGCTCCCTCCTGCTGGCGCAGCGTCCTCGCAGCCACGCACTCACCCCTTCTCCTTATCACAAGCCACGCCGCTTCCTAACGCAACGCTCACATCCATCAGCGCTCACAAGCCCTCCTCACCTCGCCGAGGGGCAAGTCGTGCTCCGACTCTTTCAGGAAATCGATATCTCGAGATGAAATGATCCCAACCAGCTTGCCCCCCATCTTCCCATTGTCCGTGATGGGGATCCCACAGAATCCATGACGAGCCTTTGCTTCGAACACATCTCGCACTCGGTCGTTGGGGCTCAGCACCACGGGGTCCGTGATGAACCCTTGCTCATATTTCTGAAAAGAAGCAGATTGAGCAGCCAGGCCGAGCAGCACCACCAGAGCAGGCAGAAGCTGGACATGTGCCTGGTGGTTGCTGCAGCCGCCCACAAAGGTCTGTAACCGCCCCACCTGGCCATGTGCTCACCCACATGGCAACTCCCAGACCAGCACCACGGCTCACCCAAGGAGCACTAGATCCCTGAGAGCTCCCAGGCTAAGCTCCTTCCTGAAACTGTGGGGAACGGTTCCACCCCAGGAGGCCTGGCAGGTCTCAGACCCCAGGCTGAGCGTGGGGCAGCACCTAACACACAAGAGGGGAACCAGGACAGCGCCACTCCTCCAGAACACCAAGATCTGATGGTCTCCTCTCACAACGGGCCAAACCCCACCGCCCACCTCCACCCCGGGACCAGGGTTGGTTCCAGCCGCTCACCTTCACCTTCCGCACTTCGTTGGCCTGGAACTCCGGGGTGCAGTTGTGATGGATGAACCCAATGCCCCCCGTCAGCTGGGAACACAAAAGGCGGCTGTAAGTTGCTGCAACCCCCCCCCCCTTCACCGGGCAGACCCCACCACCGGGTGGGCACGGAGAGGCCAGGTCTACCCCCGGGAAGCATGGGGGGGTACCGGCTCCCGGTGCCACCGCCTCAGGGGGTGCCGGGGGGAGGCATGAGGCACAGCTTTCCCCCCCCGGGGCGGGAGGGGGGTGTCTCCGGAGCGTTGGGGTGACCCGGCAGCAGCTAGGCCTGTGCCTCGCACGGCATCTTCACCCCCCGCCATGCC